CCTTTTTTCTTCTTCTTCCAAGTTTTTTCTGAAAGGAAAATTTTTAACTTTAGGACCTCAATATGTTAAAATTTCGTCTTTTCTCTCAATATTTCAAAACTAAACGTCCATGGACACCCTAGGACTATCATACCTAATTAGAGGTATGAAATAAAAATAGGCCAGCTATCAATAAAAAAATCTAATAAAATAGCCTGGTAAATTGGAAAGGCGAACGTCTGGATCAGATTTTGGCTTAGGATGTTGACACAAGGAATTACCTCCAATACACAAAATGACACTAAAGTTAATTCAAAAATCCAGGCAGTGCAAAATAACTGCTGCATCTAGCGGTTATACTTATATCATACCTCATACTGTTTCTTAAATTCGAGCAGGGCACACTCTACGTCCATCTTCAGAGTATTTACACGAGCATAACGAGGTTTCGGAAGGTCTGCAATAGAAAATGGGAAACAAGATTCTGGTGACAATTTCAAGGCTGCATTTTATGCTCAATTGAATAAATACACAAAGTGATAATCCAACAAACTCTTATTAAAAAAAGAATCCACCACACAAAATAGAATATAGACACTTTTACCATCTATTTTTTTTTATAAAGAAACAATCTTGGTCCAATTATATTTTATAAAGTCTGTTTTACAAGTTTGAACTATGTACATCTCAATGTTTGATCCATAGAGATAACCACCATTAACAGGATAAGAGTCAAAACACATACCTGAGATTTTATAAGAAGTCATCAAATCTGAGACATGTTTTACTTTCTTTCGCACTAAAAGCTTGGCAAGAGCTGCCTGCAACACATCCTTCCGCTGGAGAAGAATTTTTTCTGCATCACCAGCTAATAAAGCCTCCTGTATAAACAGATGGACGTAAACAAGAAACCAAAGCAATGAAAGAATGAAACACACTGGGGATGTATATTGATAAATACCTGGCCAAAAAGAATGTCATACAAGATTATATACATTAATTCTTCTTGCCTCTGCAACAACATTACCAGCAGTATTTAATGAACAGTTAACGTTAAGTAAGCAGCAGAACAACATTAGCAGCAGAAGTTTGCCCAAAGTCTTTATCTTGACTACGTTCTGTCCACCGTAATGTATAGGTATATATTAACATTTTTCCTTCCAAAACTACGGGAAACCTCCATAGCAAAATCTCAGATTTCTAAATTGCTGCTTCGGAGTTATATGGATATTTCATATTGCAATAATTCACTACGTCCTATTGTGCAGATAAATCCGAACTATTACACACCAAAGATGTCAAGCAATATCCAACATGTGAGATAGTTGATACAAACTGGGATAAGCATTATGTTAAGAATGTAGTACTTCAGGAAGCGAGTGAAAGATGAATAAGGAGAACCTAGCTTACCTAGGTGGTAGGCAGTAGAAACACTAAACTGAACCTACAGTTAAAAGTCAATCAGACAATAATAAGACTCTCCTCTGCTTTTCATTTTGAGTTGAGCTGGTAGCCTGTCGCACCGAGTTATTTGAAATGCAAACACCATATTTTACTTGTTAGTTCATATCGTATAAAACGATTGTTCTTGGGATTGTGAAATATCAATAAGCAGCATTCAAGAAACAAGTTCTATTTCGACATGAACAGAAAGTTCAGAGGTTGCCAAGATAAACTTGAAAATGACAATGACCACTAAAATTTTTATAATTGACAACTTATGCCAGATAGATAAAATCATTAGTGATTTGAAATATTTGTGGAGCTTAAGCTCTTCCAAGAAATCTATTAGAAAGCCTTTTACTTTGGATAATCTGTTATTTAATGAATGTATGATGAAGGCATGAAGCTACTTGACATTTAAGAGATGTTGGCACTTTTAGCACTTGTAGTCATCAGTCTGTAGATAAATCGTTCTTATTCAAACAATATAAAATGATGAAACATATTTAATTATGGAAAAGAGAAAAAGAAGATATTCAAATGATGAAGCACCAAAGGATGCCTCGAGCACAGGTTATTCAGAATATTACTCGAAAAAAGAGAATGAAAAAGAGGAAGATCTTTCAAGTAAACAACAAGAATTTCTTATGTCCAACAGTTAAGCCCCTATATCATGCAATGAGAGAAGTTAAAGTGCCAAAACCCGACAATCAATCAAAATCCAGAAGTTGATTTTCCAACCTTCCACTTGCTACTCAGCACATTGGCAATGTCAAAGACATCCTTGATAATGGGAAGATCTGCAAAAAGGAAGAATCCAGTACATTTGAAATAATGAAGCCAAGGAAAGGACCTTTTCCATAGGTATGAAGATGGCATGATTTTCAGTCACTCAGTTGATACTAAAGTCATTTCAAAAGAAAATACCTTCCAATATTTTTATGTTAAGGCCCTTGAGATTTAAAAATCCAAACGACAACTCAGTTCCATTAAAGTATATGTACTAATTTGAATATTTGAGAAGAGTAGAAAGAAAAAACCGAAAACAAGTACATTAAAACCTCCAAGAGAAAGCTATGAAGCATGCTTCTTACACTATATCAACAAGTAAAAGCGAGAAGGATGAGCAGATGCTTCTGACTACAGGGACTACCATATTATTCCGTTATTGTCATTTAAAGTCGATCTTAAGCGGCACAGATAAACAGTGAACATGGTCCAGACTCCAGCACAAAAATTTTGTTCATTCCTATCAAATAGAAACTCAAAAAATATCCTCAATTATCAATTTTGGCTACAGTATTTCAGAGTTTACACACGTATTTCCAACAAATTTCAGGTTAATACCCATAAGCTTTGAATTCAATATCTCGTATGATCACTTATTAGTAGCAAAAAAACAGCCGACTCACTCTTATATGGTTAAAAACTAGGATGATTTCCCAAAATGCAGTTAACACAGCAAGCAGACAAGCAATTTTGGACAGTCAAACATGTATTCACTGGCACTTAGCAGTTGTATGGTAAAAGTAAAAACCCTTCAGTCTAATTATAAGAAGTATCATTCTTCTTTAGCTATCTAAACAGTAGTATCCTACCATTTTGTGATAGTAAACATTTGAGGATGAACTCTAACATTCTTCTTTTAGCTCCCTAAGCATACACTCTAACAAGTATTTAGGAAATGTGAACTTACATTTGAGGGTTTGACAAACCAAAGCATAGGTAGCTTTTTTGTTCCTAACGGAAGGACTATACACCAGCGACTTGATGGACCCGACGGCTCGACGCCGAGAGTCTCCTTGTAGAATAGTACGCAAAACCTTGGCGGCTTCTCTACGTGCAAAGTACGCCGACCGCTCGGCGTTGCTCATCCGCTTCTGGTTCGGCTTATTCGCCGCCGGTTTAGTGTTCCCTTGCGGCTTCTTGCACGCCATTAATTTCGACTCCGGCTGGTCACCGTGGAGGGAGAAGGAAGAAAGAAACTGATTATGGGCTTTGGGCTAAATGCTTTAAGGAAAAATTGACACCTGATGACAATACATAAGGGGGAATTGGCAAATTTTTAGCCTTATATTAGATTTTGGCAAAAGTAGCCCCAAATAATTAGCATTTTATAGCCAAATCCTAAAACTACCCTATTTTATTATTTATTCTCCTAACCGTTTGCTGCTCTCCCTCTTATTGTTCGCTGGTCCCCCTCCCCCTTCTTGTTCGCTGCCTCCCCCATTCCCCCATTCCTTCCCTGTTCTAAATGAGATTAAAATGGTGGATTAACTCTATCATTAGTTTACTCAGTATTACCCATCAAATACAGAGGAGCGAAGCTTTAATATAGAGCGACAAATTAATATGTGCATACAATATATATATATATATATATATATATATATATATATATATA